CTTATTGTCGTATGGTTTATAAATAAAAATATAATGAAATGTCGTATTAAAAGTTTATAGGGGTATATATTTTCCTGTCTCTTCCACATCATTGGGACTCGATTTTTATTGCTATAAACTTGTCTCATTTTCCCATCAAAACACATTTTATAAAATAGTACATATTATATAAAAAATATTTAAAACTAGGATTACTTAAGTTATTCACATCAGAGTTATGGTTACAGAACTTAAGGTAGGTGATTAATATTACCCACTATCACCTAAGATGTTTTTTTTTTAATACGTCTTTGACTATCACAACATCCCATCACAACTTCACGATACTCGTACATCAGATTGTCACTCCATCTTGTGCCTTAGTTTTTTTTAACAAAACTGAAGTGACAATTTTTTATTAAGAGTTTTGGCTTGGATTCTTGTCCTTTATTTCATGTTTTCATTTATCTCTGTATCAAGTGATAATAATCCTTTATAGTATATAGCTTCAAAATATATTGATGCGTCACGTTGTGTGGTTTTTGGGAGATTTTGACGGCGACATGAGCCAGCAGCAAGTGGGCGATAGTACTTCAAGGCGACTAAGCAGACTTACACCTTATCTTGAGATTCACATCACCATCGGAGCACTTGTTTCACCATTTCCACTAATATTTCACATGCGCAGACATTAATACGAAAAATCACACCACTTTTACATATCAAAATCCACTTTAAACCATTATTTAAAGAATAATTCAAACTCTTGAAGTGACACGAACTTGCAGTCTGCATTTAACTTTAAACAAAGTACAGATGCGTTGCCTCCTCTGAGGACTTAGATGGTAAGCCTCATATCATGTAATTATTCTGGCTCTCTATATCCATTAGACAGGAATACAACTGTGCTACTTGGCGGCAGAAATAGGCAGGACGGTCGTACCTACCCAGGCGGGCTCCTAGGCAGTAAAACTCTACCACCGTGTAAACAGTCTTATTTACTACTAAGATAAATGTTTATTAAGCCGCGTATCCACCGAAAATATTGACAACATATATGTTTCCAACTGTTTGCAACTCAACAAAAGCTACCAACATTTATTTCTGATGTTTCCGCACCGAATTGAAACATGTCGCCAACAGTTTGAGAAACATTTTGGTTAGAGAGCACTTTAATCATGTGCCATATTGAGTTTTTTTTACGTCTTATTTGGATTATTAAGTATCAAAAACATACTAGTACAACTCTTTGCACTCTGGAGATGACAACAAATCCAACGACATCTCATTTAAATTGGTTTTTATTAGATTGAAGTGACTTCAAAATCCGTCATTGCGTTACGGCAGGAAATTCATATAAACATACATTTGTATAGACATACACATGTAAAACATAACCCCGCTCCTGAAAACGCGTGGCAGACTCCGGGGTAGCGTTGTTTTACCTTTTCAAAAAGGCAAACATAGTATTTGTAATTGATTTCTTCTAAGTTAAATCACATAATTATTTTCTAAGCGGTAGAATGCTTTTCCTGCCTTTCTGTTATTAAATAGCAGTGCGTGCACTGCTATGTTCCGGTCTGTAGGGTATAGTGAGCCAGTATAATTACAAGCTGTGGGGCATTCCAACTTAGTCCACAGAGGTAATAACACTTTTTGTATAGGATAATAGTGACAAACGAGCACACAGTTCACCCGATGGTAAGTGGTTGCTGTGACCCATAGACATCTACATCTATCCTCAAATACAAATCAAAATGCAGATGCGTTGTCACCCCTTATGTAAGCACTAAGATGTAATGCCTCGTTTCCAGTAAAAAGGGTCTCCGGTTCTCTACATTCACCATATGAAACAGCAGCATTAAGTTGCTTTTTTAATCTGCTTTTAGTGTGCTTTGATTTATTTCAGTGTTACCGATACAGCCTATTAAAGTCCACTGCTGAACACATGCCTTCCCCATAGATTGTCGCATAGGGGGGATATTTGTCATAGTTGCCACGCTTGGCAAGTGGGTTAGCAACAGCAGTTTTTTATTTTTAGTTGTTAGTAGGAAGACGCTGCTGCCATTTCCTAATTTGTTTGCCTCTGTCGCCTCTTGCGACCCACGGGATGATATGGGGTAGTGGATATTCTTGCACGGTCACTACACGGTATAGTACTGTATTTCAGTGTATTTATTTCAATTTTAAGTGCTAAATTGCCACATACTCGCAACTTACGATAACTCAAAAGCTCAGAACTACTTTATATTTTTTTTTCCATGCACTCTCTGCACTATGATGATGATGATGATGTAATAAAAAATACCAAAATACTAAACTTACTAAAAAATATTCATCAACATTCAACCTACATGCCAAGCGTGGCAACTGTGACAAATATCCCCCCTATGGGACAGTCTATAGGGAAGGCATGTGTTCAGCAGTGGACTTTAATAGGCTGTAACGGTAACACTTTTTAGCGGTAAACACGCAAACTTGTGTCTTCTGAGGATTAAACTGGACTAGATTTAGTCGCCCCCAATCCACGACTTTGTTCAGCAAAGACTCGACTTCAGACACAAGTTTATTCCTGTAGTCGGTGACGTTTCCCGAGAAATATTGGCACGGCCGGTGTATCATCACCAGTGCTGTCATCCGCATAGCAATGAATGTTACCAATTTGCAACATATCATTGATATACAGAAGAAACAGCGTTGGTGATAGCATGCAGCTTTGTGGAACACCAGCGTTAATAGGTTTGTAGTCGGAGCATATGCCGTCTACAACGACCTTTGATGCTCCGATCTGCTAGGAAGCTGGTGATCCAATTGCACAATTTCTCGGGAAACCAATAGGAAAGGAGCTTCGAAAGAAGCGCTTTGTGCCAAACCCGATCAAAGGTCTTCGCAATGTCCAAACTAACGGCCAACGCAATTTTCAAATTGCAATCAAAAATTTCAGTGGTGCCGGCTGGAAAACGCTTATTCTTTTTTATCAAGTTCCTATATTCAAGAAATGTTTTTTTCTCCATTATGATCCAATTTATATTAGTATTATAGTTATATTCGAATGCATGAAAACAGCTATTATTAAAAGCTTATAACATCTCAAGAATGAAAGAACCAAGAAATCACAAAGTTGTTAAGGATTTTTTCATGAACTGCACTGCAAAACGGCTGTTAAGGGAAAATGCAACGTTGTTTTTAAAATTATAAAAACTAATAAAAACTAGGCAGAAGATACAATGGTTCGATGGAAAATTCTTTTGAAGGTTTCTTTGCCTTCGAATCAACTACGAAATAAAGTGGAGCAAGGTCGAAGTTGCGGCTGCATTGTTTGCATAATCGAGTAAAGTGAATAAGCAAGATATAGGCAGAGTAGTCGCTTTCATTGCGTTGTTAGAGCTTCGAAGAAAACTTTTGTCACTTGTAACGAGCGATAGAATCGTACTGTTGCAAAAACGAAAATAATTGTGCAACGGTTTATACGATATTCGAAGCATAAAGCCTTCAACGTCGAAATAAATTAAATTATATTATAAATGCAATGTGCAATCTTTGTTGAATGTTTTTATATGTATTATAATTCGTGGTGAGAGCTGCGCTGCAGCTATATTATGACTGCAGCATAGATAGGTCGGCTTGACCGGGAACTACCACGCTCTCACAGAATGCTAGCGCAAAATTGGAGCTTAAAGCTGATGTGTTTTGAGTGGTGAGAGACGAGGATTCGACTTTTTAGTGGAACTTTTTAATGTTGTTTTCAAGGGGCTTTCCCCAGTTTATAGTTTAAATCAAAAGAGAAAAAACCGATAGGGAAGTGATAGGAAAGTAGTGAAAGTCTCAACATTGCACTCTTACGGGGACATTTAGAAGATAAATTACTGTTTTATTTCCTAAAGCACGTTCCAAATTATATGATGATATAGTCCACTCCCAAGGACGACGAGACAGGGACCACTCCAGAGAGATCCGTAATCTTAGTCTTCTAACCTTTCTTTTCAGAAACAGCGACAGACGTTCTCGTGTGACACTCCTTCACTGGGGTCACGTCTACCTCGTTGCTCTGAATACAACGTGTTGTGATTTATATTTCCAGGTAGAACGTCAATGTATAACTAACCCCTGTTTGATTGGATCCTTTCAGTTGAGGGATTGTTGCCGTGAGACGGGCTGCTACCCTTTCAGTTGGTCGCCATTGATGATAACATGCTTGCCTTTTGCTTTATAATCATATATATATATATATATATATATATATATATATATATATATATATATATATATATATATATAGATGTAGGTGTAAATAGTGGACTGCGTAAATGTAAATGGTGTACTGAACCAGCGGGCTTTAACTTCACCTGCGTAGAGATACCCCTGAGCCTAGTACAGGAAGGCCACGGGGCCAGGAAAGTTGAACACTCGGGAGTGCCAGTTTTCCCGACCCCTTCGGTGGTGTGGTTCATGGCTCCGCCATTTACCAAGTTTCCACCTGATGTAAGTAGCTGCTGCAGCCAACTTCAAACCAACAAGGCTGCAAATGCGTTTCCACTCATGTCTCATAGCCTGTAATTATGATAGTTCTCTATGCCCTTCATACTTGAACATAAGATGCAGCAGAAATAGGCAAGAAGGTGGTAGCTACCTAGATCCTAGGTACTCTATTGAATACGAAATAGGTATAGTATATGGCAACTAACTTGGCAAGGTTTTAGCGTAGTGGGGGAAAGTTTGCTCATGTACAACGGGAGGTACCAATCACGCGCTCGGAAGTCGACTGGCCAACCAATCGCGCGCTCTGAAGTCGACTGGCCAACCAATAGGGCGCTCGGAACGAAGCTACTTCGTTCACGCGCCCCGCTTGATAACCAAAGAGATCTAAAAATCGACTTCTGGGCATATAACGAATCTTGCCAAGTTAGACGCCGGAATCTATAAGAGGTGTACGAAATGGATAAGAGGGTAGTCGGATGAAATCCTGGACAGAAAAGGATTCTTAGTCCCTAGTAAATAATTATGAGATAGCACCCACTCACCCGATATGTTGATGCGTTCTTCGTCATAGTAGTCGAGGTGTAGGTCGTCCTCATCTTCGGGCAGCAGGGGCTGGTCGTTCGTGTCGGTGCGGCGCTGCGTCGCGTTGGGCGCCCCGCTCACCAGCACGCAGACCACCGCCAGCGGCAACACCACCTCCATGCCGACATCACCGCGCCCGCACGGCCCAGCTCGCGCTGCACACGAAATACATTATAAGGAAGATTTTCTTTTTATAGAATAGGGTTGATCGATGTGGATGAAAAGTTCTCGAATGGTAGCCTCGTACCGGTAGATGAAGTGTAGGCCCTCCACTAGATGGCGTGACGACATGCAGTAAGTCCACGGTTGGAGATGGCATTTGGTGGGCTGTGTGCTCGCTTGTCAACCTTCATCGTCATCATCATTACAGTCCTTCATAAGTCCACTGCTGAACATAGGTTTCCCCAAGGCATGTCACACAGAGTCACCTGCTTTTATCAACCTATATGTCTTAATAGGTCGTCACTCAATCCAGACGCTATATACTTTGCTGTTCAGAGCGAATCTGCCACTCGAGAGCCGACATACATACTCGAAAACAACTTCAATATTTCTACTAACTTTATTTATTTGAGTAACTGACATAGCTCACTGGATGTGTGAGTTAAAGTGCCAATGGGCCAGTCATAACCGACGGGGTGGAAACGATCTCGACTGGCAGTCTCGTAGCGATAAGTGAAGTATAGGGCGGTCCTTCTCAAGATGGAATGACAACCTGATATGATATACAGGAAGTCGATTGATGCAGATGGCTCAGCACTATGTTTTGTGGAATTTTTGGGTGGAGGCCTCCGTCAGTAGTGGATTTGTGTTTTGAAAACAATAGTCAATATTGTAGTTACAACCGCAACGCTGATATTTTGTTGATTTTTGTTGACATATTACTTGTTGTTGTGTTGACTTACGCTAAACATAAATAAAAGCAGCCAAACATAAGTAATATGCAGCAAGAGCAGCCGCTAAATATTTGTTATATTTGTGAAACTAAGTAATTATTTTATTATTATATATTATAAATAAGGGAATTTACATAGTAGATTCATGTGGATCTGTGCCAAATTCCTCTTTTTCTGTGCCAAGACCAACATAAATCTTTTTTTTAAGGTCCTTAAAAGTACCATTATTAGTCAAATGATTTTATACTTTTACATTAGTCTAAATTCACTACATCTAATTTCATTTATGTAAGCTCTTCAAATGTTTTAACTACTTAAATGTTTTATGAGGCCATGACAGTTTCTTTTTCAATCGGAAGTAGTTGAAATCCGGCCATGAGGACATAATTTGTATTCGTTACTAATGGATTATTTTCGCCAGCTTTTAATTATCTGTGGTTGGTACAAAATATAAGTTTTTAAATATTCTACACACGCTTTACTTCCTTATAAAGAAAACTCGTAAACCTACTACAGTATATTTTCATTCAGTTGACGGTCTTTGTTTTATTTTGGTTACACAATAAAACGTATTTTTATTACTTTTCATTTCGAATACGACTCTTCAAACGAATGAGGGCATCGATATGAATATCTGATATTTCTATATCAGATATTCATATCGATATATTCAATATCTATGTATCGGTTTATATCTACGTAATTCTGTAACTTTGTAAGTGAGTATGCAACTACTCAGTAATAGTACTTATTTGATGGATTTGGTTTGCTTAGATATAAAGATATACTGTAAAATGAAGTATGATATTAAGTATTGGTTAATAACCATGACACTCTGAATTGAGGATATTTTACAACGAAGAGTCGTAATAGGTATATCTGTTTTACACAAATATAGGTATTTTGCATCTTTCTCATGGCTTGTTTGAAATTCGAATCAGTGTATTATATCATAGATATTAACATTATTATTATTTCTTCGAATTCGATGCTTGAATTTCGATATTGTACTGCAGCGGTATCGATAAACATATTGGATATTGTACTGATATACCGCCCACTCCTTGCTAAAACCTACTACGCTTTGGTAAAAATAAACTTTGAAACCTTTAAATACTATTTTCAAAATACCTAGTAATTTCTGTAACCTTTATTAAATTTAATAAATTGATTACTGCATCAATATCAATTTATTATAGAATATCTTAGTCACTTACAAGAATTTGTTTATCGAATTAAAAATGTATTTTAACAAAGTAATATGCAATAAAGTGCCTTTTTGTTTAATAATGCAATACTTTAATGGCAACAAACATCTAGAGATAATTGAAACATGACCGGTTTAAGAAAGTTTAACTTGAAACAACATTTAGAATAGTCTGCCATTGTTTGATGGATCAAATTGTGGACAACAAGATTAAGCGGTGAGCAAGAATAAAAACAAAAATGTCATTTACGCCAGTAGGCGACAAGTGTGAACGTTTATCTACGTACAAAGCCGCTGCTTTTACCCGGCGCCATGCATGTTGAACAGCTTTAATTCGGCTTCAAAACTACCCGCAACAAGTACGATACATTCAGATTAATAGCTTATAGTTACAGCTAATTATCTACAAAAGTGAACAAACTTTTTACTGTTAAGGTGCAAGAGAACAACTATGCACGTTTATTTAAGCTTGTTACCACCCGATCTTTATTAAGATACTAGCTATCCGTCCCGGATTCACATGGGTGACTTTTAGTCCTCGACAACCTACGGGTGCAATTATGAATATAAACAATCCAGGAACTCGGTTAATCGGTCGGAAAATCGGTACAGGAGTTCAGCGATAAACATACTTACAGAAGAATTATATTTATAAAGATAATGCCCTGTAGGTGCTGCGTATGCTTAGTCAATAAGCGATTATAGCAAATTACGTTAAAAAAACTGTCAGGCAAATATCAATAACAATGTTGGAAATATTCGACAATAAATACTTTGTTTTTGTCATTTATTTTTCTACATAAACATATATTATCTAAGTATATTAATTACTCACTATAGTACTGCACAGTGATTCTACAATTAATAAATTCAAATAATTATTATCGAAAACACAATTAAAACAATGCACAGTATATATACAGCGAGCGATAACCATCTGAGCTACCACGGCTCGATCCCCGCCGGCACCAATGAAATTGTTAATTGCAATTTTAAGTATTGATTTACCACGTGCTCGGCGGTGAAGGAAAACATCGTGAGGAAACCTGCATGTCTGAGAAATAAGAAAAAAAATATTTCGAAGACATGTGAAGTTCGCCAACACGCATTGGGGCAGCGCGGCGGACATTTCCTTGCCCTAAAACCCTCTCAGAAATGAGAGGAGGCCTGTGCCCAGCAGTGAGATGTAAATAGGCTGCAACTTTACTTTACTTTACAGTATACACAAAATAAACTTTTCAATTGGTACAAACATAACTTCATTTACTGCTATTGAAACATGTCGGCGACGCGAAATCACAAGATTTTACACATCCAAAAAGTTAAACACGCATATGATACAGTTAAGTATATACAATGTATTAATGTATATATTCGTATACATATACACAAACACGGCTAAAGAATTTTTCACTTCAAAAAATTTTCCAAAACTTAGCATTTGAAGTCTACCAATACGCATTGGGGCGGCGCGGTGGACAGTTTCACGCCCTAAAACCCTGTCAGAAATGAGAACCCTGTGGGACGTATAGGATAGGCTACTTTAACTTCATTCTTTTATTCATCGAAAAGAGTTCGGATTACAGCTGGAGTATTTTCGAATCATCATCATGAATTCTTTCGGACTTAAAAATTAAGCATTTAGGCTTGGGTTTGGTACATTTACGTGGTGGAGCCATGCTGCAGTTATATTATGGTTGTACCACGAATAAGTCGGATCGATTGGGGAAGGACTACGCTCTCACAGAATACCAGCGTAAAATAGTAGCTCAATTCCGTTGTGTTTTGTATGGTGAGTGTATGTAGAACCGAGGGAGTGTTTTACTGGCAACGAGGCATTCCATCTTAGTCCACATGAGTGACAACGCATCTGCATTTTAGTTTTACTCGAGGATAGGTGTAGAAGTCAATAGACCATAGTCACATTATGAGCTCACAATCAGGAGAACTTTGTGTTCGTTCATATTGTATAAAAAACACAGTTGATAACTTCACAGACGTCATCGTATTCTGAATCTGCCAGGTTATGCGTCCAAATGTCAAATTAAAAATTCACAAATGCATGTTTAAATAAAACATGCATGAATATGCATTGTTAATGTGTATGTTTTACTATGTATATGTAGTGGTGGTGTAAGAATATCCACTACCCCATATCACCCCGTTGGTGTTGTAGGAGGTGATAGAGGTAAGCAAAGAAGGAGACGAGCGGCAGCATATTCCTAAGAACAACAAAAAAAATGCGGTTGCCAATCCGCCTGCCAAACGAGGCATTTAGAGCGAATATCTCCCTTATGAGGAAATCTATCAGGCCTATATTCTGCAGTGGACTTTGATAGGCTGTGGCTGATGGTAAATGTTATATTATTAGTTTTTAGTTAGATTAAATTTAGATAACATTAACAACTGTAAATAAAACAATATTTAGCGTGTTACGGCGTAATTTTACACTGAAAATAAACGAGTTATAGCATTCATTGTTGAAACTATAAAATTCATTCAACAGGTTGGCGTGTATAGTTACTAGTGTATAATTTCTATTAAAGGCAATACGTAAATAGTTCTCCAGAGTACAGAATGGCCGTGAAAAGTTATTTCAGCAGACAGTTTATTCACTACCGTGTATAATATGTGACAAGTTATGTAACGGTTGTGATAAAATATTAGTTAACTAAGTACATTATTTTAATAAAATTTGTAACTTTGTTAAATCAGTACTGTCGACTCTTCTGTTGTATTAAGAAATTTTCTTGCTTTTATTTTTTTATAGGAGAGGGGGCAAACGAGCATGCCGCTCACCTGATGGTAAGTGACTACCGCCGCCCATGAACTACTGCAACGCCAGGGGAATTGCAGATGCGGCCGGCCTTTCAAAAAGGAGTAGGCTCTTTTATTGAAGGTCCCTAAATCGTATCGGTCGTAATGATTTGTCGTTTACATTCTTACACGTCACTACATGTTCACTACCCAATCACAGATTACTTAATAGTTTAACCCAACATAGTTCCGTGGGAGTC